CTTAATCTTAACCTGAAATGGTTACTGACCAAGAATACCCGAAGGTGCATAATATCCTAAAAACTGGTTCTTGCTTTTATTGGAAAGAGAACTCACCAAGATAATCCGGGGTATCTCCCGGCAGTGCTTTGTTTATGGTCACAAGCTCGACCATGGAGACATCTAGCTGCAAGATTAGTGCCACAAACACATACGAGATTTGCAATATTTATGATAAATGAAAGCATCCACAACCACACTGCTAATCATGATAGAATTGATGACTGTAAGGTGGTTATGATTCTCGCACAAGGATGTGGTACAAATTGGACAGGACTCTGAGGATTCTTTATGTGAGCAGGATTCTTGAGGAATTTTGAGAGTTAAACTTTCATGCTCATTTGTGGAGTTCTCATCCTCCAGAGTTGATGTCTCAAGCTCGTCCATGGCCAGAAAGTTCTCCTTGCCAAAGAATGCGTCGTGCAAGATCACAGTTGTTTCTTGACAACCATTGAGAACAACATTTTGATGGCCAGAGGGACAAGGTTTAGGCTCGATAGGAGGTTATGATGGTGGTTCTTTGGAGAACACTTCAAGAGTCTCACCGGAATCTTCTTTTTGAATGAAATGATAAACATCCTGTTCTAGAAGGGATTCAGGGGACTCATGAAGTAGAACCACCATTACATCTTCTATCAGCACCTTATCAGGAGGGAAGTCTGTCAAGGAATTCTCATGATCGTTCCGAAGATCATCCCTGGAGTCTAGAGCGCATCCTGAAGTTCGAAATTCTTCGTTCTTCGGTCCTGATGGCTCGGGAGAGGATTCCTTAGCCGAAACTAAAGTTGTGGAAGGATTTGATCCGGATTCGGCTATTGAAGGTTCCTCTTGTTTTGACACCGATGCCTTCTGGAGGGGTTCGGAATATTGCTCTATGAAGGAGGTGTTTTCTAGAATTTGGTCTAGAATTTCCTTGCCTTCCGATGGAGTTTTGTGCATGAATGACCCTCCGGCAGTGATGTCGAGATAGTATGCAGACTTCTTGTTTAAACCCGTACGGAAATGTTGCAACAACACATATTCGGTATAGACAAGTTTGGACCAGATCATACTAAATTAGTAAATCTGGATCATGCCGCACCTATTGATTCTTTTTTTCCTACTGGAAGCTGAGGATTTCTACGTGAAGGGCATTGATACGGGTTACTGGAAAGAAGGCCAGACAGAACCTGTCCCGCAATCTTTCCAGTCACCGTTTACACACCCGACGATAGATGTGTACAATTGCTTTGCTCTCTCTTCAAGAGAGAACGAAAACAACTTCCACCGTATAGTTCCTTGTGACATGCCTCGAATCTTAAGGCATGAGCACAGCAGCTCAAACTCCCACAGGTGATGGTAGGGATTTTCCTGGTGAAGACCAAAGAAAGGTTTCTCCCTAACCATGTGTATGAATTCGGGGCGAATTTCATAGCCAGTTGTAAAAATTGGCTCCGATGAAGGAGGTGGCTCATAAAATTCGCCCCATGGAGCAGACGATTGGAAGATAGATTGTGGCTCCATGGGCGAGAAGAGTTTTACAAGAATACTTCTCTAGGGTAGCAGGGGTGAAGGTAGGAAAAAGAAAAAGTAAAAAGGATACGAGGATGAACAAGGTTTGGAGATAAACAACAATCGTTCCCCGGCAAGGGCGCCAGAAATGCTTGTTAGTATTTCTTACGATCACAGATAGAATCCGCAAGCGCACAGATATACCGATGTAGCACTTCCCCTATGGAGTATTCCAAGGGTATTGAATCCAAGGGAACGTGTGTGATTATCTCTTCCTTCGGTTTATCCAAGGACACAAGATAAATATGGGCAAAGGATAGAGAGGATTTCCTAGTGAGAAACAGTGTCTAAGGAAAGCTTAAGTTTAATCCTAACGCGATACTTCAGGCACTGGCAACCTGCTGTTTCCAGATGTCGCTCTACTACGTACCCGGACAGGGAGGACGTAAGTGCTCTTGAGGGCTGTCACCACCTCTACACCTACCTCAAACGTACTGTGGGATATGCAGCAACCACTGGCAATTAATTACCCAGACACCGCGTCTACACAATTAATTACTACTCTAGTACTGGCCAAGCACTAAAGCAAACACTATATAATTAATGGTCTATAGTGAACAATGATCCCGTATGCTAATTAGGAACTAACCAAGAATAATTCTCACTAAGCAAATCTTAATTATTCAGAATTTTATTCCTATTGAAGCAGAGTAATTACCAAAGTAGAAGAATAAGGAGAGGATTACCGACAACTCTGGGATTCCTCCGACTTCTTCTACTTCACTCTCTCCCTATTCTAAGTATATTATTGAACATGTAAACTTAGAGCCTCTTGTAGTTCAGCTCTACATCTCGGTGTGTGTCAAATGAGGGAGAGGAGAGGGGTATTTATAGTGTGGACATCCTCCATGGCATCCAATGAGCATATTCACTCTCCTCATGCAACGGTTGGAGCGCCGGAAACAGTCATAACTGTCATTGGGAAACAGTTATCTACCAAACTAGAATTGGGCCGGGGCGAACGGTCTCTGTCAGGGTTCGGCCGAACTCAGGGCTTCGGCCGAACCCGGGATGGCTCCGTTCGCTCCGGTTTTCATCCTGGACACTCATTTTGGGCCCCACAATTCATTGGTATGAATGTTTAGCCCATTTGGAGGTGTTTAATTGGGTTTATGGATCCAAAACTCCTTAAGTTCGCATACAAGTTTGATTCTCATCCTCCTTCATGTATATTTCCTCTCAACCTTGGTAGTTTGTCACCTGCATATGAATATACACCAACACTCGTGGAAATCGTTAGAAATAAACCCCACCACTATGTTGGATGTTTTATATTTATTGTTTATGCATATATTGACGGTATTAATTTGGTACTTAACAGCCGTCAACACACGTCAATAACAACAACAATTCCTACCACCATTTAATTATAATGTTCATCCGATCCAAATCCCCATGTTCTCGGTACACAAATGAACAAGAGAACTTGAAAGAAATTAAACAATAGACATGAACAAGATAAAAAGAACAAACTCGAACCACAGCTGCGTTGAGGATGATGCGGCGGCGACAGGGCCCTTGGGTCACCTCCTCCTTCCCCTTGAGCGTCGTCGGGATGGCTGTGGTGGAGGACTCGCAGGTGAAGACGTCGGGGATGGATCTGGCGAAAGGGAGCACCGCCGCCCACGGGAGGAGAGGGTGTGGCCGCTGTTGCCGCCGCCGCCTCTATCGGGCCGCCGCTGGCCGTGGGAGACCGCTGCCTCCCCTCCTGCCAGATCTAGCGAAGGGGAGTGCATGGTAGCCGCCGCCACCACCGCTACCACCTCCGTCGGGGAGCCGCCGGCCTCGGGAGCCTACCGCCACTGCCAGGTAGGCTCCGTATGGCAGCCGCCGCTTGAGAGAGGGGAAGGAGAGAGCTGCGAGAGTGAGAGAGCATGGGAATAGTCGATTGAGTACATAAGGATGGAGTCACGTGACGTGGGTGGGAGTAGATAAGGAGGCCAGCTATGGCGCTCGGCTCGTCGGCTCTACTCATTTTGCATAGGTGCCGGTTTTTTTTAAAAGAACCGACACCTATAATATAGGTGTCGGTTCTTTTAAAAAAATCGGCACCTATAGTATTGGGACCGGTTTTTACTAGTGAACCGACACCTATAGTGTCTTAGAGGTGCCGGTTCTTATTTTTTTTAGCCTGGTAGAGTTGGGAAAAGGCCTATAGGTGTCGGTTTTAAAAGAATCGGCACCTATAAGGCCGATCTCTATGAGGGTTTTGTAGTAGTGACTTATAGGGTCGGTATGACGGTTTTAGAAAAGGCGAAATGAATATTCTACCCTGCAACCGCCATCAGCTAGCCATCCTGGACGTCCACGTGTAAGGCCAGCCAGAGCCGCAGCAACCAGGGTTCGGCCGAACCCCTGGTTCGGCCAAACCTGGGCTGGCCCAGTAGGCCTCCACACTTCTCTGGGTCACTAGCAGGTGGGTCCTTATGACTGTTATGGTAGTTGATGCAGTTTTCAGGACGGTTACACCTAACTTGTGGGCCCATCTTATTCATAGCTTGCTTGGGAGTAAGTTTTTCTCATTTCTCTTTATTTGCTCAATTCCTGCAACAAATTATTCTCCAAGCACAAGTGGAACTATATTATTCTAAAACAAATATGTGTTATAAGCATAGCTAATTCTCCTTTATTATAGTTATATAGATGGTCGAAATTGGTCTATAACGACTGTCAACAATCATCGAATCATAGCGCCAACACACCCACCATAGTTTACGAAGCCGGAGGACGTGAAGCCAAATTCGCCGGGAGATCTCATCAAACCATCTCGACAAAGGTCTCGCCGGTATCGACTGATTCATCCGTTCTCTTTGTACTCTGTGGTTTTCCATATCAATATCATATAAACTGGATTAGGGCTATTACCTCACGAGGGGCCTGAACTAGTATAATCTTTGTCTTTGTTTGTTTTGATATCGTATTGTGTAGATCCTCGTGCCAACGTACCCCAATATCCTATTTATCCGGTCTACGGGTATCCCCCGTCGACATTTATGGAAACAAGGCTAAAACTATGCAGAATGTAGATGTGATATTGAAAAAAGCAATTCAATTGGCTAGGTTAGGTTCAAAGTAGATTGACTCCAATTGAACTGGCTTTGGCCGTTATATAGGGGTTGGTCTTCCACGTCAAATTTGGGGTAGATATCATATTAGAACTCCGATTATACCTTCCCATGCTAGGAAACCCAAGACCCGATGAAATTCGTCACAGACTAGAACTCTGCTGGTCTGACCGATTATACACCGCCGGTCAGACCAACCCCACCCGTCGGTCAGACTGGCCCATAAGCAGCGGTCAGACTGGCCTCGTAAAGGAAATCCGGCACGTTACAAATTTTGATAATGCTCTCCTATTTCGATTATAGGCGTCAAATTTGGGTATAAACAATTTCCTTTTCTCTTTCATGGTCAAGCAAACAACCCTTGCGCCCACGTATCAACGAGCAATACCCTTCATCCATCTTTTGGCTATTTGGCAGTTTCTCCACGAGCACCTCCAATCTCCCTGTCCACTAGTCCAGTCCAGGACCAAAGAAAGGATAACTCGATCAACCCAATCTACTCGTAACCATTGCAACGACATGGCATCCTTAACCCTCCACCCCCTCTTCCCAGCAACTGCACCAGGCGTCTCCACGACATCAACTCCTAGCCGCGATATTCTCCGACGCGGCACCAGACGGCTCACGACCACGTGCAAGGCCGAGCCTAGCGGTGGCAACAGCACCCTCGAGCTCGCCGCCGGTGCGGCCGGGCTGGCGTCTAGCTCGGTCGTTGCCTGGTCCCTCTACACGCTCAAGACAACGGGCTGCGGCCTCCCACCGGGCCCCGGTGGCGCTCTCGGCGCAGCGGAGGGTGTTAGCTACCTTGTGGTGGCGGCGCTGATTGGGTGGTCGCTGACGACGAAGGTGCGCACAGGGTCGGGCCTCCCGGCCGGGCCGTTCGGACTCCTCGGCGCCGCAGAGGGCGTGTCGTATCTAGCTGCCGCTGCCATTGCTGTCGTCTTCGGGTTCCAGTTCTTCGAGGTTGGGTCGCTCCCGGGTCCATTGCCATCGGACCAGTGTTTTGGCTAGGTGGGATTTTGGGAACTCACATGTTTTCGTGAGTTGAATATGTTATTAGTAACTGAACATACTACCCTGTTAATCTTAGTTTTGTGCAATTATCGTGCTCAATTCCGATGCTTTTCTGCTGGAAGATTCCAAATCAAAATCATATATCATAATAAATTTCATGAGCCTATGTTGCCTTCTGCTGGAAGATTGCAAATCAAAATCATATCTCTATCTCAATCTCTATCTCTACTTCACTACTATTATAAAAATTAAAAATATGTTTTTGTCGGTATTTTGGTACATCATCCGTGTTTGAATCGGTTTTAATTTTATGTTTCTATTTTAATTTATATATCTCTATAAAAAAAGAAATTTCTGTTGTCTGTAGAAAAGAAAGAAAAAAAGTCCGACTAAAAAGTTAAAAAAGAAATAAAAAGTCCGACTCAGCAAGCGATAAAAAAAAGCTTCTGTTGTAAGTAAAAAAAGGGAAAATTATAACCATGCCATTATAATTTTGCAAAATTTAAGATATGCCATCTTGACCCACATGTCATTGACTCATGTGGGTCCTACATGTCATTGAGATACCGATGACATATCTCAAACTTTACAAAATTATAATGGCATGGTTCCAAATTACCCGTAAAAAAAAGAGAAAAAAACCATCTCATCGTAAAACACAATTGTCTGACTCCCGTAGAAAAACGAAAAAGAAGTCTCCCATTAAAAAAAAGTCTGCTTGTTTTTTTTTTGGCACCGGGTATTTTTTTTTTCTGATTTTTGTTGCACTCGGAAGAGTTTTTTTATGCACACGCTAAGGCTTTTGGTTTTGTTTTCCGGCCTTTTTAATCCGATCTGTTCACCGCGCGCCTCCCGAGCGCCTTTGGTTTTTGATTGTCAATTTTTTTCGCTGGTTTTTTCTCCCGTGCGCTTTTTGTTTTTCTCATCCGATTTTTTAATCCGATATGTTCGCCGCACGCCTTAATCTAGCGCCGCGTCGCCGCCATATTGATCATGCTTTTTCTCCTCCAATTTGATTGAAAAATCGATTCCCCGTTCCTCTCTCATCATTTTCTCCATGATTTTCCTTTCGATTCGGCTTTAATTCACCAGATTTAGTCTCCGTTTAACACTTGCCGATGATGACAACGATCTTCTCTAGTCGTTTTTATCCCAAGTTTTACGCTCTGATTTTGGGGAAAACGGAAAGAGTAGATCGAGTGGATCAAAAACCCTCAACCAATTCTAGCTGATCGAGAAAGATTCGGCCAGATTTGATGGGATATTTGCTCCAACAAGCATACGGGCCTGGGACTATCTTCGGGAGGTTGAAGATGATAGTCAACCTCCTAGGCACGGGACTATCTTCGAGAGGTTGAAGATGGTAGTCATCTTCGGGAGGTTGAAGATGGTAGTCGACTGTGCGAGTTGGGCTTACGGCTCCACTTGTGGTTGGGTCGAAGGGAAGCAGACTAAATGGAGGAAGGTAGCGGGCTAGCCTAGGGCTGAAAAGGAAGGAAGGGAAGCAGGCCAAATGGAGGAAGATAGCAAACTAGCCTAGGATGAAAAGGAAGGAAGGCCTTCTGCCGAAAACCCTGTAAAGTTTTTCATTAACTTTTTTAATTATAATCTATAGCGATTCCAACGTTAGAAATTTTCATTAACTTTTTCAATTATAATGTATATAGTGATCCCAATATTTCTTAATATATCACTAAAAAAAGTCTTTACCCGTTGTAATGCACGGGCATGTTTTCTAGTCTACTACTACTTAAAAAACAAAAGGTGCTTCCATCGTCCGTCAAAAAAACCGGGCGAAAAAACTAGGTCTGTTCGGTAAAAAAAAGTGCGAAAAAAGGAAAGAAAAAACCAAAAATGTCCGATCCGAAAAAAAACCGAGCGAAAAAAGAACCAAAGTTGTCCGATCAAAAAAACCGGGCGAACAAAAAAATGCGAAAAAAAGAAAAACCAAAAAAAAGATGTCCGATTCCTATGGCAAGGCGGAAAAAAAACACAGTAGATCCGATTCCCTTAAAAGTTGGAAAAAAAATCATATTCCTATATTATCCTATTTCCCGTACGGTTGTTTGTTTTTCTTTTTTTTTTCGTTTCTTTTCCGCTTTTTCTTTCCTCCTTTTTTCTTTTTTTTTATTTCTTAATACTATGTATGTATATAAACTTTGTATACAAACTTTATATATTGTATATTTTTTCTTTTTTATACGTATGTATATAAGCTTTGTATACTTCTCTATCTCCACTATTAAAAAATTCAAAACATTTCCTTCGTCCGTCCCTACTTAAAAAATTCACATTAAAAAAGATCTGTCCGATTCCTAAGAAAGTGGCGAAAAAGAAAGGTTCGTAAAAAATAAAAAAACAAAGGAGAAAAAAAAGTACAAAGGGCGAAAAAAAGCACGGCAAAAAAACGTCCGATTTCTATTCGTTTTTTAGTCCCTATATATCTCTTCTCTATCTCTAATCTAATCTAATCTAAGTATTTAAAAAGAGAAGTTTTCATAGTAAAACTAAAAAGAAAAAATGCGCGAGAAAATAAAAACGGTTAAAAAAGCGCGAGAAAAAAAAAAGCAAAAAACGCGTGAGAAAAAAGTCAGAACAAAAAAGCTAAAAAAGTTTTCCGTCTTCCGTAAAAAATAAAAAAACACGCGAGGAAAAAACTGTTAGAAAAAGCACGCCATTTCTAAAAAAATAGTTTGAAAAAACCTCAAATAAAAATCACCGTTTATAAAAAAACAAGTTGCTCTGAAAAAACTGTTAGAGAAAAAACGTTAAATTGATAAACGCTTGAGTCGGATAGTATCAATCGATTTTTTTTCATCTTCTGCACGGCTTTTGTTTCGTCATCTATAGAAATTATATTAAAAAAACAAACATATTTTTGTGTAGACTTGACCATGCGAGGCAATGTAGGATTTGATTGATCCTATTATTGGTTGCAAGAATGAGATCGAAAAAGTATTTTAGATTATATGTATGTTGTCTCGTGAATAATCCAATTATTTTAGATAAAGCAAGCATTGGTAAGGTTGTCATCGTTGAAGTTGGGCCATTACATTAAAGATGTTCCAATTTTCACCCGTTGCAATGCACGGGTATTTTGCTAGTTATTATAAAAATTAAAGATGTTTCCACGGTCCGTCATCCGTGTTTTGAGTCGGTAATCTCTGCTATTATAAAAACTGAAGATGTTTCCGCGGTCCACCATCCGTGTTTGAGTCGGTAATAAAGATTGAAGATGTTTTTGTGGTTTGTCATCCGTGTTTGAGTCGGTTTTAATTGTATATTTTGGTTTTAATCTATATCTCTTGTCTATCTCTTCTCTACTATTATAAAAATTGAAGATGTTTTTGTTAGTATTTTGGTACGTCATCCGTGTATGAGTCGGTTTTTATGTTCGTTTGCTTTTGGAAATACATATCCATATTTGAGTCGGTTTTTAAGATCGTTCACTTTGGTAATATAGAAGGAACCATATAAGAAATCTGTTTAAAAAAACTCGCATGCTAACTTGAGACAATCGGACTCCTAACTGCAGCTCATGATTCTCTCTCTCACTCACTTCCCCTCCCCGTCCCGCCTTCTCTCTCGCTCCCCCTCCCTCCTCTTGATCTCTCTCTTTCTTTTTCTATTTTTTCTCCCTGAAATTTTTTTTCTCTTTTCTAGAAAAATAAAAAATAAATTACCAAATTCAAGACTTGAACCCATGACCTCATAGTTCAAAGCACATTTTTCTAACAAATTCATCTAATGATGCTATTTGTTTTAAGAATTTTGTGAGAAAGTAATATGATTATCAATTCTAATATCTTTCACTACCGAAACTCATAACATGTTACTATGCTTCAGTAGTAACATTATTTTAAAAGTACATTAACGCGTGACGTTACTGTAGAACACATAGGACGTTACTGCACTTTTAGACCAGGAATCGAAACAAAAATATATGGGTTAAAGCCTCACATGCTAACCATATACTTGTTACTGCATCAAAGTAGAAGTGTTACTATATAATAGGTGCATGTTACCACATCCAAGTAGTTATGTTACTGCACGACAATCGTAGTTTTACTATGTCAGTTTTACAAGATGTAGATCAAATAGATGGGCTATAGGTAAAGTCTGTAGGTGTCTTTGAGTGAGGTCTAATTGATGTTGGAGTGTTTTTTAACAACTTTATACATTTGGTAAAACCTATTACTGCATGTATATACCCATGTTACTGCAAATTACATATTCTGTTACTGCATATAGTGTGTTAAAGTTCAAAATGCCAATAGTTGAAAAGCAATATCTCACAAGATATGTATTATTTTTTAAAACCATTTTCACAATGATGCTATAGTTTTACTGCATGTAGAGGATAGAACTTCAAAATGCATCTACATACTCCCCTCCTCAAGAAACCGTTCTCCCTCCCTCTTCTTAAGAAAACCGGTATTTTCTCTCTAATATAATGTTACTGCATGCATGTATATGACGTTACTGTACTTTTGACAGTAAATAAGGAATTGAAACAAAAAAAATATTGGGTTCAAAGTCTCATATGCTAACTATATACTTGTTACTGCACAAAAATAAAAGTGTTACTTCACGATATATACACGTTACCACCTTATAGTTACACATTACTACATGTTAATGCAGTAAACCGAGTAAATTGTTTACTATCGACAGTTACACGTTACCACATGACAGTTACACATGTAAAGTGTTACTGCACGATATATACACGTTACCACCTGATAGTTACACATTACTACACATTACCACCTGACGGTTTCTACCGAGTAAATTGTTTACTATCGAATGTACATGCTATATATATTGCTCCATCCCTCTTCCGTAGAAACCGTCCACCCTCTTTCCCCTCCCTCTCCATTTTTTACGGATCCGGCGGAGGCATGCAGTTTCTCGTGCGGCGAGGAGAAGCGGCGGCGGCGGTTCGGGGGCGACGGGCAACTGCGAGCGCGGCGTCGGTGGGCGGGATGCGCCACGGCTCCACCTCCTCCACCGCCGAGCGGTGGCGGGCGCGCAGGCGTGGTGGCGGATAACGTGCGACGGGCTCGGCGGGGCCGTCCCCCGCTCGGATCCAGCAGCGCTCGCACGGATCCACCAGTGGCGGCGGGAAGAGAGCCTAGTGGCGGATTTGACGACGGCTTGTGGCGGTGGAGGATCCTCCAGACGGGCGCATTTGCCACCTCGACCAAGAAGCCCATTGACGGGGACGATCTCGGTCGAGTCCCGAGGGGCCAGGGGAGGGCACCAGCAGCTCCAGATCCAAGCATCGCCGCCGGCTTGGTGAGGCGAACCAAGCATCGGCTGCGAAGGATTTGGGGTGGCGACGATGGTCGAGGCGCCGGCGTGTTCTGGCTGCCCTCCTCGCGTTCGCCCGCATCTGGCTCCTCCTAAGGCAAAGGCGGAGACCAGGAGAAGACGGGAGCCTGCCTTTTTCGCCCACGGCCTCCACCGGCTTCCCTTCCGCTGCCGCCTCGAGCTCCTCCCCACACCTTCCCGACTGGCCCTTGCCGATCTGCTCCGCGTTGGCGAGCTATACGGAGGAGCCAACGTCCTTCGTCCTCGTCGGCGGCCGCCGTTCCGCCTTCGTCCGCTCGCGGCCGCCAGATCGCCACCATCGTCCACGCTTGTTTGGCAGCTAATTCCTCACCTTCAGATCTATCCCCGGTGGCGCGTGCACCTGCGTTATCGGCCAGAGACCTCACCACGTCTCCTCCGTGCACCCGGCATCAACTCCACCACCCATCGGATTTGCTCCCTTTTCCTGTTGTCTTCGTTTTTTTTTCTTTCTTTTTACACACATGTTGTTTTCACAGGGATCAAAATCATGGATAATTGTGGTCAGGCCTGCTGCTGCTGCTGCTATACTGTTGTTTTGATGATGAATTCAGTGCATCCTTCCCTCCTTCGATCTTGATTTTGGTTCATGTTCATTTTTTTCTTGATTTTGGTTGTGGCAGCGATGGCGGCAAGCAGCGAGGTCGCGATTTGCGAGGGGCGCTGCGGCATGCAGGGAGCGGCAAGGAGCTGGGCTTATGGGGGCAGCCGGGCAGGGGCAAACGCGCCGGGCGCCTAGGTGGTCAGATGGGAGCAGAGCAACGCAGCGCTTCTCCCTGTATCAATTCTTTTGGTTCCAACAGTGAGTCAGTAAGTATGGCATTTTTTTTTTCAATCTTTCCGATTCTAGACGTGTAGTTTGTATTGTCAATTGAGGGGATTTATAATTTCTGAAATTTATTGGTAGATCTTCAAATTGCAACGGAGAAGAAAACACCATTACTTAATTACTTCATGGCTCCATTTTTGTTCAGACTTACTGTAAGAAATTCCCCTGGAGTTTGGGAACATGCCTAAACTTAGCTACCTGTAAGTGATATTTGTCTCATGTAGATGATGTTTTTCTAACTCCAGTTGATGTGGAGCACTATAGGAGGTTAAGGTTTGGATTTTTTTCCATGCATGGCAACTTAATGACAATGATTAGTGGGGTTAAAGATTTGTGGATGATAAATACTGAAGAATTTTGATGACCCTGTGGTCTGTGTCCATCAGTATGATTTTCGTAATTTTAAGTGACGTTGTTGTGCACAGTACTCACAGCCAACATGCTCAGTTCTCCTTGTGATTAGGAATTGCAAGCAAGAGAATACCTCCACTATAGTCTATAATTGCACTAGCTAGTCAATTCCCTTGAAATGTTAAATAATATGGTTGCTAAAATGAATTTAACATCCATGGACAACTTACTGAAATGAAAAATGGCAGTATCGTTTTACCAGCAACCATTGCAAGTATAAACACACCATATATACTATGTCATGTATAATGGATTGATGGGTCTGTGAACACAACAACAGGAATAATCACAATTAGAAGTAATTTTACTCTGAAATTGGTCACCGCTCGCTACATATGGTTCTATCTAATAGAACTGATCGATTGATTTTCTCTGAATCGCTCACTACATATGGTCCTATCGAACAGGAATAATCACAACTGGGCATGGTTGATGGATAAATGTTGGCGGGGAAGATTAAGGAATCTGCAACACCGCGTGGGCTCGACATTGATGTGTGGCACTTGCACTATCTGGCGTCCATGGGTCTTTCTCCCAGCATATTGCATTCCCCAGCTGAAGGTTCCCTGCCAAGAATTTAGAGAAGAAACAACATCTAGAGAAATATGTATTCCTGTTCTTTAGACATTGCATCATTAGACTACTACCTCTATTACTACATGAAGTTTGTATTAGCAATAATGTGACTACATGGTGTTTGTATTAGCAGTAAAATGTGGCTATGTTAGTAATTTGGAATTTGAAATTAATTCCATACACCGAGAGAAGCAATGTTGGATACTATTCTTCTTGTTCAGTATTGTCCTAATGTCCACAAAATAGAACATTATGTCGCCAGGTTTTGTTGTATTTACTAATGGGCCAATTCTGAGTTTGTTTGCATTAAGAATTCAACCAATGTTTGGAAGAACTGAAAGGATCGGGATTTTGCCTCTAATCGAAGAAATAACATCATGAGATGGCCACTGCATTAGTAAATTAAATTACTAATAAAATGAATCTACTGAGAGTAAATGATTTATCGAGAGAAGGACATGGGTACAAAAACCAGGAATAAGATAAGGGTGGAGAACTACCTAAGAGTAAATGTCTAAGAGTAATACATTTACTGAAAGAAGAAATCAATAGAGAGTAATACATCTATTAAAGAAGAAATCAATAGAGAGTAATACATCTATTAAAGAAGAAATCAATCAACAGAGAGTAATACATCTATTAAAGAAGAAATCAACTGAGAGTAAATCAGTAGAGTAATACATTTACTAGAAGAAGAAATTGACTGAAAGTAAATCATTTACTAAGAGAAAGACGTGGGAAATCGACTGAAAGTAAATCATTTACTAACAGAAGGACGTGGGAAGAAAAAACCGGAGCAAGTGGGGGGGGGGGGGCGGTTGGGGATGGAGGAGGGGAGAGAGAAAGGTGGTTTCGTGGGTGGGAGTGATGGTGGGTGGTGGGGGTGGAGGTTGGGGTGCAGTGGTGGTGGGGGGTGGGGGTGGGGGTAGGGGGTGGGGGTAGGTTGTGGGGAGCATTTTAGTTAGTACGCATCCCAAGTACGGTTTAGCGCTACCCTATATATATATACACACACTAGCAAAATGCCCGTGCTTCACTACGGTATATTAAAACTAAAAATATTTGTTTTGAACCGAAGTTATTTTCACACTGCTTTGGTACTTTTGCTCGCTAGAAAAAGTCTCAAATGATTGACAGAAATATAATAGCTCATAATAAATTATTATTCAATAGTGCGTTACAACGGAATAATTTCAACTAAACTCACAATAAATATTTTTAAGATTTAATTTGTGATATGAGTCCTTTTAGAATAAGGTATTCTTGATATAAATCTGCCAATAAACAACAGATTGAAAACAATATATTTCTTGTTTACCAGATTTAACATCAACTAAGGTTTTGTAGCAATTAAAAAGACTTAACTTTCTCTTGTTGGGTAATTGTATTTTGTTGGGTAATTTTTATTTTTAGTTTTTTTCTATGAATTTGATTGGAGATATATTTGAGAGAGGCAAAGTGGACTTGTTGCTTTAAAAAAAGATGAACCAAACCTAATGTGGCCCAACAACTAAATCGCATGCTGTTACTGCTTCATGGGCTGCGCGCGGCCCTTTAGTGCTGAAGCCCATAGATGGAGGCCGGCCCGATGCGGGATTGATCCGAGCTGCTCGTTTTGATAGGATTTGCTGCCCAATTGGTAACGGCTAAACTGGATCAACAACCAATTGTTTCCCTTTAAACATAGCAGCAATCTGTTCTGGGGTTACTAGAGGTATATTCTGCCCCATGTGTTGAGGTTGTGGTCTGATCAGTACACGGGGTTTGAATCCTGGCTGTCCTGAGCTTGCAAAAGCTGATGTTGATGCCATCGGCTGTTGACTTGCAAAAGCCGATGTTGATGCTATCGGCTGTTCTGGATTGATACCAGAGACAGGCTGTTGTTTCCCAGTTACCAGATCCCTATATTGTGGAAACACACCATTAGGGAGAAAAGTTGGTCCTTTAGCTTGATGCTCAGCAATTGTACCATCAACCACAGACTTGATCATATTAGTCAAGGTATTGACAAGCACCCCTGATTGGTTGATCAAAGCATGATGAACAGCATAGTCAATCTGATCTTGCAAATTCTTGATCTCTTGAGAGTCTTCTCCTTCTGACTTGTCATCTCCAGGTTCATCATCCTTAGCTTTATCACCTTTGGCCTTACCATCTTTAGATGTGCTTGATTCCGAATCACTATTGGGAACCACCTTTAGTTTATACCTCTGGATGACTGTAACCGAACGAGTCTACTTGAATGAATGTAAAAACTGACTCTGCAAATTGTTCATCATCTACTCGTCCTCTGCCATCTGTTCTGGTGTAAGCTTATCCATTGTTATTCGAATGATATTTTCAGGACCAACCTCGGATGGCTTAGTGTCCACCATGATAAAAAAAAAAACGTCACAACTCGGGTCCCACTGGGCGTGCCAAAAGCGCGTTGATGCGAAAAACACACACTGGCCTGGGAGATCTGTTTAACTCCAATGCAGGTCCTAAATCTTACTCTTGGGTTCAAAGGCGTGCTAGTTGATTTGATCCTACAATCAACAATAAGAAAAAAAAAAGGAAAACAAGGTTAAATCCATAAACGATAGCCGATCGCCTAAGGGCCGATGACATATCGTTAATCATTGAGCCGATGTCACTAGTGTTAGATCGGCAATGAAGAATAAAGCAACATAAGGTTAAATCTACTCGATCGGCTGTAGATATCAACGATATATAATCTTCTTCTCGAAATATATTTGAGTCAAGTAATTGGGATAGATCGAACAATAAGTCGAGACAGTATAAATCACTTATGCTTAAAGGTATTTTAAGACGAAGATTACATATATGTTCATAGCATAGCCAATCAAATAGATCTAGCATGTATCGGCTAGTACTCCGATACCACTCTATATTAAAATATTAAAACAAATAAAACATATCAAACAGCGAGCCTAATATACTTTAATGCAATAAGATCTTAATATAAAGGGCGGATTTAGCATATCAAGTAAACATGCAAGGAATAAAGTAGCTAAATCAGATAAGATTGGCTGAAACCCCGATACTATCTCTATTGATGATCATAAGATAAGCTAGATATTGCAGTTATGAATATTACTTAATAGATCGAACTCAGCCGATGCAGCATTAAGCATAAGAATAAATACAAAATCTAGACAGGTTGATGAAAACCTCTAAAAGATGGTAAATATGCTATATAATCTAGATTAACAACTATATCTAACTCTGTCGGCTACCTTCTAGTGATAGATGTTAACCGATTTAGGGTTGGATTATAGCACTAATAAAGATTATGAAGCATATATGATAACTCGACGATTTACATAACCAAGATTAGAGTGTCATAAAGATGGAAGCACTAATCCCAAGAACGTAAGCCGTCATGACAAGTTTTACCTCTTGTTGAAGATTGAAATCGATGCAGCTCAACCCGAAAGTAAGAACTCGTCGAAACAATGAAAGTAGAAAAGGGTGGCGATGCGCCGAAAGTGTTATTAAACTGTTGTTAAATGTTTACACGAGATCGGGTCATATTTATACCCGAGATACATGATAGGTCCTTGCCGGACACGACTTTTGTCTCTAACAAACTCTAAGATACAAACGAATCTTCACGGCAAACTCTTGCCGAAACATATCTCTAAAGAAACTATTTAAAATATCCTAATTAATAGATACAATTGCCTATCCATGAGCTTATCTCCATCGTGGCAATCCTTGCGTAGCACGTTGATCAATCCTGGAGACGATTATACAACCATCTCAACGAAATCGGATACATTGGTTATCTTTTATCCGATCCATCTCAGCCGATGCCTTCGTAGCCGATGCGCACTCTGTTAATCGAAGATGATTCCCTGCAAAATCCGCTATGATTCCAATTTTGAACCTAGTTCATGTCTTACCAAATTTGGTCATTAACAGGCGGCTAACCCAGTCAGCTTGGATACCAAGGGCCAGTTTTCTTACAAGACTAGAGCTATAGGCGGTTGGACCAATTTCATCACCGACAACATGGGAACTGGTTCGGTCACCCTAGAGAACATACAACTTTCTTGATGATGTGGCTTGAGAAATTTCTGTTTTGTGGCCCAAGTTGCGGTCCCACTTCTAATTGGTAACACTTGGCCGAAGCCCTTGCGGAAAAGAGGCAATTCCCTCTGGGAAAGTATCTCTTAGGAGCTCTGTACCAAACCCTCAGTCATCGGCACTAGTGGCCCTTTATGGCTTCTACAGATATGGCTCAATCTTCATACCATCAAAGTGTCTAGAAGACCGGCCCTGAACAAGATGAGCTTTCCAACCCTCGATCCTATCAAACATGATGAGGGGAACTTAGTCAAAACTCACCGATGCACGTCTTTTGGGGAAGCGGCTTCGGCCTATCTTGGGTTAGTTCTGTTGGCTGAATGCCTTTCCAATTGGTTCAACAATTTTTACGACGGCTTCCCACAGAATTCCAGGACCTGGTTTGCCTATGAGCGTTCTGAGAACTTCGAATTCCCAATCGATTTCAGATTTGATGAGATCAATCACGAGAGGTTTGAGAAGTCCAGGATGGTTTAATCGACAGCCATCTCTCCCTGTATCCTCCCTATCGGCATTCATCAGGGCCGTAAAACCCCAATTTCGTACAAGTTCTATCATCCCATGAGCACTGCAAGACAACTTGGGCTGGGCCAGCTACCCATCGGCTTGATTTTCGTGGACAAGATTCAAACCAGGGGGGTGATTACATCGGCCCTAATGATGGATAGACTCCTGAATATCCCAGGGGCACTATTGGGCAGCATCGACAACATTGAGTTGGCTCTGATTAGGAGTGCGACCTTTGACCGCTGGTGGGCCAAATGGAAGAAACACCTCTTTCACCAATCGACCTCGAGGTATATGACCACTATCTTCCCGGAGCAGATCCCGCAAGTAAGCGATCCTTCCCTCTTATCATAATCTTTGCTGAGCCGATGTCAACATTTATTTATGGTTCTTCAATTTCTTTCATTTTGCAGACCACAGAATCTCCACCTCCTCACATCAGCAAAAGTGGTGAGCCCATTCATTATGCCGTGGGGATCATGCCAAACGGTGGAGGACTTGCTCCTTCTATCATCGGCTATAATGCTCCCAAGACATCCTCCTTGCTCCATGGCCTTGTTCGTGATCCTGTTGAAACTAGAAGAAAGAGGGCCAAGTCGTCGGACGCCAAATCCCCCCTAAAGGAAAGGCTTCAAAGAAGCATAAGGCAACTGCTGCTGATG